AGGGGCTGGATTTCCTAATGTGGGGCCTGGGTCCTTGAGGTCCTTCATTTCCCCCTTTTCTTTATCCGGGATATAATCTTATATCCATTGATCTACCTGCTCAGAGTCCGGCACTTGCTCAGCTGATGGCTCAGGGTGCTGTGGGAGTACTTGAGATTGCTGCGCGAGGACCATAGTTTGGATTACAGACAGTCTTCTTTTTATAAATTGCATTAATTTGTTGAATATACAAGGTCCAAAGGTTAAAATTAACAGTAATATAATCAAGGGGCCAGCTACAGTAGATAATATAGTAGTTAGCCTAATTTTGAATAGGACCCCAGGGTCGTAGGCATTTTTGAAGTACATTTTTAGGCCCCATTGTTTTTTTTTTTTTTTATCCATTCCTTTGATGCCTTGCCTGCCTGAGTAAAGGTAATGTTTAAGGGGTTGCAGGCAAACGTGGAGCATGGCCCTGCCCCGTACCATTTTAGGTTCCTACAGGAGTCGATGTATGCTGCGGAAGATAGTGGGGGCTCTTGTCCCTTTTTTTTTTTTTTACTTGTATTAAATCCCCAGATGAACCTGGCTTCCATCATATATCCCTCGTAGTTTTATATCCCCAAGATTTACAATAGTAACTTTCATGTTGTCCACATTTTTGTACCTGTGACTGGGTTTTTTTCATCCCTAGGGCATATGTAGAAGGGTGTCTCCCTTAGAGCTGCTTTACACCCTGTGGGATGTTCTACGCAGGTGCAGCGTCCACTGTAGACGCATGCTTCTGCCTCACTGGGGTCATCAAAGTCCTTTGCCTTAGCCAGCAGGTAACAAAGATCAGGCCTTAGAGCAGGTTACCAAGCCCAAAGGGGGGTATTTTGTGGATGTTTGTTTTTAAATTATATCTCCTGTCCCCGATAATATTTGCCATGTCTGGCTCACAGTTTGGTTAGCAACCGTTAGGGGAAATACAAAGCACAAAGCAAGGAAAATCAACAGCGTGTGAGTCTTATCTTTAGTGGATTTTGAGTGCGTTGCAACTTTCATTCTGGATCCGGAGAGGTGCCTGTGGACTCCTGTGGATGTGCAGCTTTCATGTGGGAGGCGTGGATCCAAGCGGTGATGCCGTCCACTTTGACTGCAGTGGGAGTGGTCAGCAGAATGGTGTAGGGTCCTTTCCACCGCGATTCGAGGTTCTTGCTCTGGTGCCTGTGTACCCAGACAGTGTCTCCAACTTTGAAGGGATGTGGCAGCAAGGGGGTTTTAAGTTCCTCTTTGTATGCTGCGGCTAGAGGCTTCCAGACCTCGTTCTGGACCAATTGCAAAGCATGCAAATGAGTCTGCATAGATGGGGTGAGGGAGGCATAGGTTTCAGTTTCATAAAAGTTAACAGCGGGAGGTGGGGCACCGTACAGGATTTCAAATGGGGTTAGTCCATGTGGGCCTGGGGTGTTTCGGGCCCGATACAAGGCTAAAGGTAGGAGTTGTACCCAGTCTTTAGTGCCAGTTTCAAGCATTAATTTAGTTAAAGTCTCCTTGATGGTTCTATTTATCTTTTTTTATCTGTCCTGAACTTTGGGGTCTATAAGCACAATGTAATTTCCAATGTATTGGCCACCATCTGACTTACCTGGGAGACGAAGGCAGGCCTATTAAATGTTTTTTTTTTTTTTTGGTCCTCACTATCAGGATCAAAGGGAGTAAACCCCCGATAAGCCTCTTTTAATCTCTCTAAGAAGGCTGTCGGAGTTTCCTCTGACCCCTGGATAGTCTGTCTTACCTGAGCCAAATTAGTGGGCCGTCACCCTGCTCCATGGAGACCCGCTATGAGTAACTGGCAATAGAGACGTAGGTGGTTCCTACCTGCTTCAGTCGCATAGTCCCAGTTTGGCCGGGTTAAAGGAAAAGCTTCATTAATCAAATTTGCGAGTTGGGTGGGGCGCCCGTCATCCCCTGGCACATTTTTGCGAGCTTCCAAGAGAACCTTTTGTTTCTTCTCTGTGTCTAATAGAGAAATTTTTAATTCTGCTACTTAGGACTGGATAACCATATTAGCAAACATCAAGTCTACCTGCGTTGGCTAGAAATAAAAGCCTTAGACTAAAACTATTCTAGTAGTCCCTTTGACAGTTATCAGGCATTTCTGTCTAAGAATCTCTCTTGTAGCCTCCAGTCTACTTATTTATGGAAGTTACATTTAATTATTATTATTATTTAAGATGTCCAGGAACAGCTGTGCTTTGGCTTTTACTGTCTTTGCTAAGTGTTTAAGATGAAGCAAGTCAAACTGACTTTTATTTTTACCTATTGTTTATAGTCAGCTGAGTTATCCTGGGAGTCCTCGGGAACTTCATAGCAGCTTTTCAGTTCTGCTAGTGCCATTTGCGCTAGGATGGGTCCAGGCCTTGCTTGACCATATGGCTTCCCTCAGAAGCATCAGGGATGTCTCCCTTTTTTAATGATCCTCCTCTTTACAGCAAATGCACCGATTGGCTTCCTGTTCTCCACTGGTCTCATTAATCTCCTTGCTCAGGAGGTTATGTGGCCTAGAGTTGCTGAGCCCTTTGGAGAAGTTCCCTATTCCCTGATTCAGACTGACTCAGAGGGCAAGAGCCGAATATTGGTTTTCTTGGCCTTTTTAATTTAACTAATTTTAAAACTTGATCTTAAACATCCAGCAAATAAGTTAACAGCCTTATATTAAGAGCACTGGGCTTTAATGTTTATTTTTCTATCCTGTAGGTGATAACTCCTTATCTTATGTTGGCCCAGGTTATGTTCTTAAAGTAATACCTCTTTAAAATATTAATAGGCAATTTTTAAACCATCTATAAGTAAACTACAAAACAAAACTAACTAGGGTAAAAACATATTTAGCTTATATAATAGCTACCTTGAATTCTAGTAGGGTTATACATCATAATTTTCTGTTTGAGATCCTAGTAATCTTGGCACAAACCTATTTTTGGACACAACTTTAACTGTACTGAAATCTGGCTTACTTTTTTATAGCCATTTTCACATGTAGTGAGATGGGATAGAGCTTTATCTCAAGTAAGGCAGGGCTCTTTATAAATCTCAATTACTATAGTTCTGAAGCTGATCATTTTATAAAGTTTACATAAATTGTTGTTCAAGTTTACATGAACATTAGCTAACACAACATAATATTACACCTAAAACATGAATTAAAGGCTGAAAGCTTTTAACCTCTTATAGAAAAGTAGTGATGTACTTTTGTGTTTTGCAATAAAACCTTTACATTTTTTTTTTTAATTACCATATAACTTTAGAATACCAGCTTGATATAAGGTTCTTTCGAAGCTTTTACCTTACAGGCTTGTATACCTGGAAGATATGAACACATTAATAACACCATAATTATATAAACTTTTTTTTTTGTTTACATTAAGTTATATTTTCAGGTTTAGATGTTGGAAATTATGATACAAATTTAAGAAGCAATTTTTAAAATTTAAAATTTTATATCTTTTTACATTAGAAAAACTTGTTCACATAAAACTGGAAATAGAATCTCTACCATCAGAAGAAATTTTTTAGTACCTTTAAGCCACTTTGCTTGTTCTGAAGTTTCTAAAGTAGCATTGAGTTACATTAAATTTATTTACATATTATCATATATATCTGAAATTAAGCTTTGAAAATTTTTAAGACTATTGCTATTTAATTATCTAATGTCATTTTTATGAGCCAGACCAACGTTTTAATTAAATTGTTTTTTTTTCAGGTTACCCAGTTCAAAATTGAAACTCTTTAATTTTTTTTTTATTCCAAGTATTTAAGTTTTCTAGCATGAACTATCTGAAATCAAACTAAACAATTGCTTAAACCCAACTTTTAACTGCAAGATAGTGCAATGCTTTAGAACTATAGGTGTAAAATCAAGGGTCTCAGTGTGACTGGCTTTACTGCATTCAGTGTTCCTTCTTTTTAAGTAAACAGAGGTGGTGTAATCCTTAAGATGTAGATAAGGACCCAGGGAACTCCCCAGAGCTAAATGGCTCTGGCAGCTGCTGGGAGTCCCTTAATCCTATCTTTTATCCATAGGATTAGTTCCTCCAGTTTGGTTTGACCTTAGGCATTAGGCATTTTTTTTTGTTTTTTTAACTTTTTAGTAGCCAGCTCCCAAAAAGTTTATCCTCTGCTTGCAGTTGTTTCAAGTGCTAGGCTTCCCCAAGAAAGCAGAGTGGGGACTCCTTAAAAGTCCCTTTGAGAGTGTCAAAATTTGTGACTGAAAATTTGGTTCTCATCTCTAAAGTACAGATACGAATCAGACAGGACACAAAACACAAAGAACGCTGCGCGGCTTCGGCACAAACCGAAAGAATCAGATGGCCTGGGAGAAACTGCTTCTCCGTCGCCTACAAAAACGGTGTATCCCTCGGAAACACCGGGGGCCCCAAAGAAATGGACCCCTCTGATCCCTGGGACGTCTCCCAGGGTGGCAGGGGTGAAGTCTGAGTTCGTCAACTCCTTCCCCGCCTGCCTCAGAAAGCTGAGTGATCACAGAATTACTTCAGAATCGGAATACCAATGACTATGCCTAGTCTTTCAGACGCTGCGCGAAACAGAGAACAGATAGCCAATAGGACAACAGGTTAGACATAGACAGCTCGAGCTGGCCAGCTTACCTCCCAGTGATGTCGAGTGTTCTCCGGATAGGGATCGGGATCGGAACCGGGATCGGGAATCTCGGTGGAACCTCCAAAATGAAAGATCCACAGATCCCAAACCCAGAACGAACCACACGAGACACT